TGCAGAGCGAGCCTGTCTTCCCCGGGTGGGCGGGCAGATGGCAGGCGCGGGATTCCGGAACGGGGAGCAGGGGCTGCCACTCTATTTTTAGCTCCTCCAGGAACCCAAATTTTTCCACTGCCTGGCAACCCTTGGATTTCGTTCCTGGAAGCTCTTGGCGCTCAGGGGCAGCCCAGGCCCTGCGGCTGAGACAGCCTCACCACCACCCCGTTCCTCTCCTCCCACCATCCCGGCTCCGGAGCCCCGGCACCCGCGTCATCTCCCCGACCAGGCCTGAGCCCTGGCGAGCCCTCACTGCCCCGTGGGTCACCCGAGAGGCGCATCCCAGGTGGGGGTCATGGGCGCAGTGCCGTTACCATGGAGATGAGGAGCAGGGCACAAGCTGGGCAGCACACTGCGGGGACTATGATGTCACACACACACACACACACACACACACACACGAATACTAACCGAGGTTGCATCGGGTGAATATGGCCGCTCTCATACTTAGAACGAGAGAGAAGACAGAGCGAAGAGGACCCACACATCTCCAGAGTGGCTGCCCCCGCTCAGCGAGCAAGGGAAGAGCCCAGAGCTGGTCTCCAAGGCACAGACAGGGAGACAGGCCGGGGTAGGGGCTGGCGGGGCCGAGAGCTGGGGGATGTGGCGGGAGCCAGGCCAGGGCTTGGCCCACTGTGTCCCCAGGATCTGGGAGCAGGTCAGACACGCTGTGCCCAGGCCTGGCCCGGCCACGTCCTCCATGCACCCCACCCTCTGTTTGACCGACCACAGCTTCCACCACAGGCTCCGAGGGCACAGGAAGGACGCGCTGCTGGGTCCCTCTCCCCGACCACAAGCAGCTCTGCAGCGCCTCGCCCAGAGCCCAGCGTTCCTCCTGGTCCCCACAGGACTCTCAGTGCCGGGGTAGAAGCCTGGATTAGGGATAGAAGCAGGTGGAAGGCACAGAGAGGTGGGCAAAGGACTTGGGCAAACAGGAAACACCTAGGGAGGGGGTGGGCAGCGCCACCACGGGCCTGCCCCGTGCAGGGGGTCCTCCCAGCGCAGTCCCAGGCCGGCACTGTCTCCTGGGAATGGAGGCACCCCGCCCCCTGCACCCTGGAACCTCGGGGGGACTATGAGGATGCTGTGAGGCTGACCCGAGTGGGATGGTTCACCTTTTTCTACCGATAATGCGGGGTTACCCCTTGGGGTGGGGTCGTGCCTCCCTTCAGCCGGGAATCCTGAAGGCAGGGCCTCCCTCTGGGCTGTGCTGGGTCACCCGCTGGCCTGGCTGCCCTGAGGCCGGGCCGAGTGCCCCGGAGCCAGACAGAGGCTGGGCCTGGAGGATCCGGGACAGGACACTGGCCCCGGGGCCTCTTGGCCGC